TTTTCAAAATGTATGTAAAGACCTGTATGAGCTGTATGCTTATATGAGGACCCCCCCACACACACACTTTGTGTAAGGACTCCTGTTATCCATATAGGAATTCATCCCATCTGCACGAGGTGGCGGTTCCCAGGTCTTTGAGACTTCCTCCATAACGTGTTAGTCCAATAACCCTGCCCCCTTGTCATTCTCTTTAAAGTTTGCAAGGGATCTTCTAGACAAATACCTGTTTTGGGTCTCGTGGGAAGCCACCGAAGTCCAACAGACAGAAGAGAAGGGGGGTAAAGAGAACCTGGAAGGGACCTGACCACCGTGATGTCATCGCCTGGGCCTTCGCTGTGTGGCCTAGAACTAACGTGCAAGGGTCCCTCTTGGTGTGGAGAAGGGCTAGTCTTTGGCCCTGAAATACCCGGTAATGCAGGGAGTAACAGGTAATCCTCCCATCCCTTCCCTGCAATTATGTCCAGGTTGGTAGGAAAGGGCTAGCCAATTCTGGAGGGGAGAGAGAGGGAAAGGGAGAGACAGGGAAACAGATACACACACAGAGAGATACATACACACGGGGGAGGGGGGGAGACAGAGACAGAGGGTTCTTGCTTCTCTGTCTGCTCCTCTCTTCGCATGTGTCTCCATCTCTCTGCCCCTTGAATGTGTGGTTCGGTCCCAGAAGTCAGCCTCTTTTGGGAATTGCTTTAGCCTCTATTGATTAAACTCAAGACGCTTGTCCTATTATATCAGAGTTTTGCGGTTCCATCTGATCCAGGTCTGTTGGCTTGACCTCCACCTAGCACTGTACCCTGCTTGTTTCATCTGGAAGAGATATGGAGGGATCCCCCCCCCATGGTCCTTGTGGGTTTCTAGGGTCCCCAGATGGGGGGGACACCATTCCCAAAAGACCTCAGGCCTGACAGGCGTTAATTCCGGCTGGGTGTAGAGAATCTGGCTTTGACCACGTGGTCAGTGCCATTTAGTTTCAGCGAGGGCTGGCCATATGGAAAGAGGGACCCAGCCTCACCAGATGTTCCAAATTTCCAAACGAAGACAGAAATCTGGATATTTTTACAGCAAAATCCCCCAGCTTTTAAATGTTAAAATGAATTCATATTTTTTAAAAAAATGACTGTGTGGGCCAGAGAA